AACTCTACTAAATTCAAACACAATTATTAAGTTTATGTTGTATGCCAGATAAAGCAATTAATGGTCAAAAGTAAAAAGCCAAAAATATTGTGGCACATGTGCACAATCAAATTCAGCTGAGATTTTGCCCAGCATCCTTCTCATTTTCATTGCGTAGGCAAACTAAATTAAAGCTCGTACATCAAGAATAAAATAGATTTTTTTGATTAAATGCCTCAAATGCAATTAAGCAATATAACAAAATATCTTGAAAGGCTGCTTGACCAATTAGATCAGGACCAGAATTGTTATAAATTAATTCCACTGAACGCCTTGTGATGGCGGTGAAACGTTTGGCTATGGGTTTTGGTAGAGGACTGTTCTCATAAAAAGCCCATGACCCTGACTCATCCGTACCAGAACAAACAGTTGAAAAGTTGCTAATATTGTCAGAAATGGAACACACGGGAGAGAGAGGTGTCTTACTGTGGTTTGCCTTTAGCCTGGCACGTCAGTTCCAGATTCTCGCCCTCTCTAATCAGGCCCTGCGGAAACTCCACCTTGATCGTCACCTCAGGTTTATCTGTGGAGGAGAAAAGTAAAGCACATCAGCGTCTTGTGCCCCCGGGCTGCATGAAACTTTAAACAGCCTTGGCTTTGTTCAACACTTATCGGATTGTTCTCAGTCATTTGGTTTGACTCTTCAGCATTACCATTGTTTGATACAAAATGTGCACATGCTTTTTTTCTATTAACCTTTAGAGTCATTTAAACATAATCGATACACCCTGATGTTTGCCGTGTATACAGTCAGAAGTCATGACATCACCGATGTCCATATTCAAGCGCTCTCAGCATTGACCTTTCTGCTCCGTAAGTACTGCCCTTTCTCATATCTATTAAAACGACTGGGCGCTCAATGGTTCTATTCTCCAGTGACTGGCAGCAGGTAGCCCGCTGGCTTTTTGCACCTTGCGTCAGCCTTGCCTCTCAGGCGTAGCTGCTACATTCAGCATGAAATGTGCACTTCTCCTTGGCAAGTCTCAGTTCTTTTCCAATTCAGCTGGGATTAGACTTCCTGCTGTGTTTGTACAGTGCAGCAGGAGGGGTGACATTCAAACTGACGTTGGACACATAACTAACGCTCTCTCACATCGAAGTATCCAGCGCCGTGTGTCTCGACACCATCGGAGGGTAGGATCTGACACACAGATTCAAGCGGGCCGGTCACTCGCTCCACATTTGTGTGAACTCCTTGCATAACCTTATTACACCTGTGTGCCAATTTCTGGTGTCTAATAGGATTTTTCGGTCTGTCTGGCGGTCTAATGACATGATGAAACTTAATGGCAAACAGCTTATGTAAGAAAATCATAGAGACATTTAGGACCCTTGGCATTTAATGGACTACATAAGGCTGTTGTGCTGCTGCTTTTGTAGAACATTCCTAATATCAGGCAAATACTAAATAGGCTCCTGTTTGCCAGGTAGTGTTTCTACATATAGGTACATGACAGGCAAAAACAGGAAACGGCTACCTTTTTGTTATACTGAGTGCTAATGAGTGCAGCGAGAATATAAACCATAAAAGACACAGAAAAAAAAAAACAGAACATGAAAAACACTAAAAGGCAAGAAAGTGTTACTGGCCTTTCATTAGGCATAATGGATACAAGAACAACAGTCAGGTGTGCCAAATAAAAAGAAAAAAACAATAAGTAAATAAACAAAGCAACAGAAAAAAAAAGTCTGCGCAGCCTTTGCCAATAGTAATTCTAATAGAATTTATATAGGGGTAACACTTTACAATAAGGTTCCATTTGTTAACTATTTAATGCATTAACTAACAATGAGCAATACTGTGACGAGTGGGGGCGGGGCCGAGAGCCGTGGGAACGGAGCGAGGCCGGTGGAGTAATTGATAATGAGCGACACCTGCACCACTCACCGGTCTCGAGTCTCACGGAGGAGCTCCGGAAGGATAAAAGGGAGGAGTGACGACCGTGTCGAGCGAGAGAGGACCAGGCCTGGAGTTTATTTTGTGTTTTGGTTTTGTTTGTGCACGACAGTCGTCCACAAGTCGTTCACTTGAAATCAAAATTGACTTATTTTCTTGATTCATGTTTCTGGTCTCATTGTGAATGATTCATCGCTCTCAATACAATACCTTTGCTGACGACTTTTACTCTCCCTCACGTCTTTTCAACCCTGTATGACTGACTTTCTTCTGTGGAACACAAAAGAAGATATTTTGAAGAACTCTTTTTTTGTCCATACAATGAAAGTCAATTGAGTCCAAAACAACAGTCAATTGGACCCCATTGATTTCCATTATATGTACAAAAACAAATTTTTCAGAAAATGTAGAAGAAAGCCAGTCCTATGGGTTTGGAATGACATGTGAGTGAGTAAATGACAACAGATTTTTCATTTTTGAGTAAACTATCCCTTTAAAGTTCCCAAGATTCATAGGAGAACATGGTACACTTGCCAAGCCCACCACGGTTATGTAAGTGGGCTCCACATGAGATGTGCGCTCTGAGGTTCCTGCTGTTTCCTTGGAGGTATTCATTCTCTCAAACTGACAGGTTTTAATGGCTGAGCTATGCCTTTCCAGTCCTATGCTCCATTCCAGAGCTGGCCGGCATCCAGCCCTCTAGTTTCTCAAAGGAACCCAAATCTAATATTCCCCCAGTAATAGAGCTTGAAGTGGCGTTCCATAGATGCTTATGCGACAGCACTGTGTGTACGTTCCACGGACGTGGGGGAGATATTAGAGCTGCTCCCATGTGCAACTTTAATGACATCATTCGCTCAATTTGGCAAGCAATGTGGGTTAAACAGTAGACATGCACTGATAGATGAAACAGTGGGTTTGTAATGTAAATAGTCCAGAGTCATTAGTATGCATGAATCAGGATAAGCAGCAGACCTTGCGTTGGAGGCAGGTCATGCATAAGGGCCAAGGAAGTTACAAAAAATCCACACAGAGTGATGCTGAGTGTCCCTGTGGATTCAAAGGGCGAAAGATTAGTTAGCTGAAACCATGTCAAAGTCGCCCACAATAACCCCCAGATTCCACTCTTTCAATTTCACCATGGCTCTTACGGCACTTTGAATAGACTGGATGCTGAGTGAACGGTGACTTGACTTTGACCCACGGATTTCACACTTTCTTGGATTTTAAAGTGTACGACGGGAAAAAAATAAGCGTCAATGTCCTGACAAGATTTATCACATTATTTCAGGGCAGACGTTTCAACTGGCTTTTTGGCAATCGCTGAATTTGTTGAGTGCTTTGCCCACTTGATGCTTTCCTGTTTGACCTCTTCTATCAACAAAAAGTGATCTGTTGGCCTTCTATCTGTCCAAATTATACCCTGTCAGAGCTAACATTTCTGTGTCCATGATGGACAGCCTGGTCTAAAGCGAAATAGAGAAAGAGAGAGAGAGAGAGAGCAGTCCGCTCAGAAGTTCTGTAAGAGGAATATCCACCTGTTTGTCTCAGCTCTATGGAGACTCCTTCCATTTCTCCCCTTGTCATCTTCAAACTCTTCGCATGAAAGGCTCTGAGTGAAAGTTTCTGGCTTTGAAGCTTCCCCTGCATTAGTTCCTTTCCAAAGCTCGCTCTCTCTCTCTCCTGAGCACTAAATCCACGGAAAGCAGCGCCACCGGCCTCCGGTTTGTGTGTAGCTGGTGTGCCGGACAGAAAAGGTCACTCTAATTCTAATAACACAATTATTGACACGAGATATTGTTGTCATTTCTTAGCACCGCCACCACGGAGCGTTTAATTTCCCTGAAGCTGCTGAACTGCACATCGGTGGAACTGTTTGCATGGTGTAGCTATCAATATTTCTGGCTTATTTAATATCCACAGCGATGATTTTCTATTTTCTATTGTAAAAATGAACTCCATTAAGGCTGCCTTCACTCAATGATTTTTAACATTGATTGTTTTCCCAGTTTCAGCAGCACAATTTGAAAGAAGAGTGAGCCAGACAATGACTCGTGCACCAGCTCTCCCCGGAGCATGACAAAGGCTGGCCGTGAGCACGAAATCCAGTTAAATAGCACAGACAAAATGGTTTTAAATTTTTCTGCTTTAAGTTGGGCACCAAATATCCTGCAGTTTCTGGAGATGTGTTGCCTTTGGTAGATAAAGGTCAGGCAAAGAAACCTTTTCCGGTGATCTTCTAAACCCAGTGGCAGGCAAGATTAACCTCAAGAAGAATATGCTTGAGGACCCAAATAAAACATCTTTAAAAATCACATCTGTACAAGGCTCGAAATTGCGACCATTTTGGTCGCATATGCTCCCGAAATTTAATCTGTGCGACCTCAAAATATATTTGGGAGCATTTGTGTGAGTGCATATAATTGTTGTCGTGCGACCTGTTTTAATTTCTCTAAAAACGTTCAGAGTATGTGCCTTCTGAGTGTTGATACGGTGACCTGTCTGCCGTTCTATGAAACGTTAGGCTACATAACCAATTAAACTTCATCTTTACATTCTTAACTTTAATGCAGATTTTAGATTGGTTAATATTAGCTGTCAATCACCCAGTCACTGCTTTCCGCTGTCAGGTGACAGGGAGCTAACTACCGCGGGGAATGTAAAGGGCTGAAGAAGAGAGAAAATAAAAAAAGAAACACTGACAGATTTATTTTGTGAACCACCTAAAGTTACAAATAATGGTGGTGGTGATAGCAGTTTTCGGAGAGACTTCTAGTGGCTCCGCTATGAAAATGGTTCTATGCACTGCGTTCACTGTAAAGCCTGCGAATGTGGGACGGAGTTTGCAGGTAACAGCGTTCGCCACCGAATCTACACATTTCGTAATTGTTGTTTTACGATGTGCGGTTTGACATTATTGAGTATATTGCAAAATCCAAACAAAACACACCTACAGAGAGTGCACGCATACATGACGTGAAGTCTGTTAGGTTAAATTAGTGCGCGTGCGTATTTAGAGTGTGTTCTTTCATGGCATGATTCAGTCTATTAAAATGCATCACAAAATTCAAGATATGGGGCCTTTACATAATTTCATATAGTTCAGGGGTAGGCAACGTCGGTCCTGGAGTGCCGATGTCCTGCAGAGTTTAGCTCCAACCCTGAAAAAAAACCTCACTTGTCTGTAGCGTTAGTAATCCTGAAGACCTTGATTAGCTTGTTCAGGTGTGTTTGATTAGGGTTAGAGCTAAACTCTGCAGGACAGCGGCACTCCGACGTTGCCTATCCCTGATATAGTTAATCAGTATCACAAGAAGAGTGCTGTTTCCTCCAAAAATCAGCCTGATTACAAATGTGATATTGATTTTATACAACTGTTCAATAAAAAATTAGTTAATATTAAGAGACTTACGTTTTAGACACTATATTAACTCTTTTTGCTCCATTTCGCCTGCAAAAATAATTCCAAGCAGTCACAGCGCTGTTTTGTGTCTCTGAGCAACATAAGGGCGTTTCGTTCCTGAATGTATCATTCGTCAAATGATTCGGTTCAATCGCAATGACTCACTTATTAACAGTGACTTGCTGCCACCTGCTGGCGGTTTTAATTTCACATTTAAAGTTTCAAATATTTCAAATATCAGTATTCAACGTTTTATGTTTACAATATTAAAATATTATTTATGCATGTGTAACTGCAGGCTAAATGCATTCATGTCCTGCATTAATTAGTGTGTAAATGCATCTAAATGCCATTTCAGAGGCAGCTTCTGTGTTTCCTCTGCATTGCAAAGATGAATTTTGTTGATTGATACTTTCATTTGCTTGATAACAGCCCAAATGTCTTATTATAATTGACTAATTAAATATAATAATTTGACTCAAATGATAATGCACACTTTTAGAAAAAATGGCTTTAAGGTAAAAATGACCATAAAAGGTAAAAATCTATTTAAACTTATTGGAAAAGATTCATTTCTGTCACTGCTGTGAACTGACCACCACACAGAATATGAATATAAAAAATTTTAGGAGTCAGCTGTCCACTGTAGTCCTTAAGATATCAGCACAGTAACACTCAGTCAAATTATTGTTATCGTTAAAATCCCAGAAAATATCGAGATATAATTTTTTGTCAATATCGCACACCCCTAGCTGCCAGCCGTTCGGTGCAACTGGCAGAGCTGAATGTAAAATTTAACACCGCATACACCATCCTAACCCTTGCCAAAGAAGAGCTTAACTTTAGGTTGTTTACAAAAGAAATCTGTCAGTGTTCTTTTCATTTTCTCTCTTCTTCAGCCCTTTCTTTTTCTCGAGGTAGTTAGCGGAAAGCAGTGACTGAGAGATTGACAGCTAATATTAACCTATGTTAACAGAATGTAAGGATACAATCTGTTAATATATAATTTGTAGTTGTGATGCTCATACATTTTTGGTGAGTGCTCCTAAATTTTTGCTGGTGCTCCTAACTTTTTGAAGTTGGGAGCACCAGTGCTACCAAGTAAAAAAGTGAATTTCGAGCCCTGTCTGTATCACAGAAGACAGTGCCCAAGGCTCTCCTCCAATCAGAGTCACAATCTCTGTGTCATGACTGAATTACCCAAGCGCAAAAACATGCTTAATCTTTCATCACAGGCCAGGTGACATGGCAGGGCTAATGTCTGCTCTCACAAGGGAAAGGATAGGCCTGACTGATTTCTAACACAAGGACAAAGATAACAATAAACTTACTAACTCTACACAACTCCAATGAAAAAAGGAGGAAGAAACACACCTTTATCTAGTTAAAAATAAATATATTTACATTATTAATATATGTTACCATAATATACTATTATTTAACAGAACTAATTCAATATGTGTATATTTAAAATGCTGTCACACATCCTCTATAATGTTAATATTTAATCAATAATGAGTAATTCTACAGCTATATTTAAAATACTGTACATTTAAAATGCTATCATGCTGCTGTGACGAGTGGGGGCGGGGCTGAGAGCCGTGGGAACGGAGCGAGGCCGGTGGAGTAATTGATAATGAGCGACACCTGCACCACTCACCGGTCTCGAGTCTCACGAGCTAGCTCCGGAAGGATAAAAGGGAGGAGTGACGACCGTGTCGAGCGAGAGAGGTCCAGGCCTGGAGTTTATTTTGTGTTTTGGTTTTGTTTGTGCACGACAGTCGTCCGCGAGGGGCTGTCGTGCTATTTTGTGTTTGTTTGTTTTATTAAAGTTTGTTTAAATGTCCGCCGGTTCCCGCCTCCTTCTTCCCGATCTACAAACGTTGTTACAGCTGCCCTCTGCTCTCACATTGTACTTAAAATTTTTTTTTTGAAAAACACCTTTATCCAAAGATATCACTTTAAATATATTTAAATTACTGTTATTATTCACATAATATTCAATTTAATAATAATTAGCAATTCTACATCTATATTAAAAATACTGTCATGTTGTCCTTAGCTCACTCACATTGTAGTTCAGAAAATAAATAAAATAAATAGTAAATATGTTTAAAATACTAATAGTTGTTAGTCACATAATATAATATTAATATGTAATTAATTGAATAATAGCAATTATATATATATATATATATATTAGGGCTGGCCAAGTTAACACGTTATCGCATTAACGCATTAATTAATTAACACGACAATATTTTTTATTGTGTATAAACGCAGTTTTTTAAAATATTTTTATTTTTATTATCATTATTACACATACAGACAAACCATGGGTCACAGGAGGGGTGGGATGTTGATCAGTACTGGCTTGGGATGGGTGTCATCACGCGTGTCAACCAATGAGAGCATTTGGGGTGGGCCAAAGACTGCAGCAGCAAATTATTTAGGCTAAGCATCAACATTAACAAACCACTGTTCACTGTTGTTTTTAACAGAAAAGAATGCAATGTGCTCGTGCATAAGTGGGAAATAGGGAGTTTCCAACAGCACGCGAAGACAGCAGAGAAGCGCTCACGCTCAGCACAGTGGAGTGCATCGCTTTATTAACTTTGTGGTTTATTATTTTGAGTCGTTTGGGACGCGGTTACACACGGCCCTCTCACAATTACAGATCTTTCACTTTTGCCGCTCAGAAATGTTAACGCAATCATGTTCCGGCGCGGTTAGCGCTCACACTACATGCGTGCCGCGCCCGAGCCCAACTGAACCGTGCTCTGGCCCACCTCTTCCAACCGAGCCAGGGATGGCTAAACGAACCGCGCCCACGCGTGGCACGGAGCGATCACACTAGTCAAACGAACCGGGCTTTGGAGGTGAAACGCGCTCGGCCACGGTTAAGATTGCCTAGTGTGAGTACACCCTTAGTGCCTTCACGTGCTATCAGAAACTTCCTATTTCCCACTTATGAAGTCCTGATTACGAGATTGTTGCGTTCAAGTGATTTGTTGTTGGAAAGAAAAACAATTTAATATTCCATTGGTTGATAACCATAAACATTCACCGCACTAGTATGACATAGTATTCACATAATATAATATTAATAAATATCTCTTAAAGTGCCGGTTCACTCACATTGTACTTCCAGGTACTTTTGCGCCTGAAAGTCCTTGACCGCTGGATGGTCGACAATGCAAACCACAGGAACTCCATCATCCTCTCTCGTGACAGTAAACCTCAGCCAGCTAGTCACAGTGAACATCCTGTCATACGTGGCCTCCACTTTAGATTTGCCTGTGAGAGACAGAAACCATTGAGAGACATACAATTCAAAATTAATCGCTTTCATTATCATCACTGTCAAGAAACCACGGGTGGCTAAATGTATTGAAGGCCACAGTATATGTTACATCCTGTGAGCCATCTAACAAAGTGGATCCCCTAACGACTCGCACATATGTGACATATGGAGGCTCGCTGTAGCTTATCGATGACATGTGTACAGTAAACAGCCCCCTGCAGCTTCACCTGAAATGTGACCATATGGGAGGAGCCATGTGGCTGAAAAACAGCCCCAAATCGCTTCCTTTCGAGTCTTGTTATGCAGCTGTCACTCATTGGCAACTGTGTGGGCTGTGATGGTGTGTTTGTGCTTTATGAAGTGAGATATAATGGCTGTAGTGGATGCCTCTGACCCGCAGCCCTCCTTCAGCAGCATCAAGTGGGCATGAAGAACACAAAAGATTCGGAGTCATTGTGCGGCTCCAGACAATAGCCTCGCAGCACCGCACAGACCTCCATCACTCAATTACTGCTCTGGCCTTGTGGAGAGAAACATGCGTGGGTGGAAAGAGAGGAAGGAGGAGAGAAGGGGTGAGCGAGAATGTAAGAGAGAGAGGGACCTATTGTCCTGTTTGTGTATTTGTAAAGAAAACAAATCCACTTGACCATTAAAAAATGAATTAGATGTGGTAGTGACAGACTAAAAGAAAAGAAACATACAAATGTGAGTTTGATGGAGGGTAAACACCAACGTCACTTTATTATAGGTGTGTAATTTATGTGCCACTAGCAGAAAATATAATGACTGTTTTCAAAAAGGTTTCCTCAAACCATTCCCTCTGTCTTGCTCCAAACTAAGACCACTGATTGAGCCAATGTTACCATGTCGAGCTGGTTTTGATGGTGTTTATGCTTTTCAGGAAATCAATGGCCTACTGTACCTAAAAGGAATAGTTCACACACAAAAATCTGTCATCATTCACTCAGCCTCTTGTTGTTCCGAACCTGTATGACTTCATTTATTCTGTAGAACATAAAAGAAGATATTTTTGTACATATAAAGCTGTTTTGGACCCCATTTGGAACAAAATGAGGGTGGGTAAATGATTAAAGAATTGTCATTTTTCTGTGAACTATCCCTTTAATCTTGGAGAAATTACTGTACTAGTCATAGTTCAGACGCGGCCTGGGCCTCGGGCCTGTTTTAGGCTGCTAATTTTTATATTTTAGACATCTATCAATTAGTGATGAAAAAAATTGCCACGCTGGTGGAAACAACACGAGACTGTGCTACAGCGACTGTCAAGAGCGGCTCTGTTTAGTGTCCTGCCAGCAGCAGTAGCAGCATGCGTGCCGTCAGCGCAGTTGAAGAGATCTGCGTTCAAACGCACGCAATAGGCTAAAGCTTGCCGCAAAGCCCCAGCAAAAATAATTACCATGAATGTGTCGGGGGGAAATAGTAAGGAGATATTTGAATTATTTACTAATAAACTGGTGTTTTCTGAGTTGGTGTCGCAAAGATGATGACAATCCTGACTCGCCATCTCCTCATTACACGCGCCTTTAGAGAGAAGTGCATCTTTACGGATTATGATTATAATGAAAGAGTTTTTGTTTTCGATTTGTTTTATTTCGTTAAGTGGTAATTTAAAGCTTTCTATAGATTTATTTATCATGTCTGTGAGGCATGTATTTGTTGAGTTTCGATTCATTTTTGTGAAGCGCTCCTGTTCAAGACCAGACCGCAGAAAGCGCATCATGTTTGTTTTCTTTATTTTATAAAAGCACAACGTTTTCTTGATATTGTGAGTGCACACAAATACAAGTATACCCTTTATAGTTCCGAATGATGTATTATGTACTCTTACCTTTACAAGCAAAAATGACGGCGTAGACTATTTTAAGTTGTTTCCACTGAAAAAAAAAAGCAAGTGATTGCGCTGGCGCCTCCATGTCCTGCAAAGCGAGCTTTAGCTTCCACTCTCCGCACAAACTTGGATATAGTGCACATTTATTATAGCGCAGGTTTAACGTTTAAACATTGTTATATGCTTGAACTAGTATATCTAGATTTTATTTTAGGCAAGTCATGATGATTTGACAAGGCTAAATTGATCAAACATAGGCTATGATTAGCTCACTGTCTGCCACTTGCCGCTTGGTCGTTAAAAAACAAAAACTTATATTTAATGAACGAAAAATGCTCAAAAGGTTTTTCTAAATTAACTTAATTAAAAAAAAAAAACGAAACTAAATATAATCATTTTGCCATTACATACAAAACTGAACTATTTTAATAGCTGAAACAGTAGTATAAGCCGTTTTGGGAGAAGGGGGAAAAAAGACGGGCTCGGGCCGGTAATTCTGATAAGTTGTCGGACAAGGGCCAGGCTACGGCTCATATTTTCAATATTTTCTGATGAATAGAAAGTTCAAAAAGACAGCATTTATTTGAAATAGTAATGTTTAACATTATTAATGTCTTTACTGCCACTTATGATCAATTTAATGTGTCCTTGCTGAATAAAATTACTAATTTCTTTTTGATAAAAAATAAGTCTTACTGACCTCAGTTTTTTTTGTATATTTGCATTAGCACCCTTTAAGTTATTTATGGAGCAGTTGTATCAAATATTGCAATTTATGTGTGGTTTCTATATTTCTTTTGTCATTTATGTGCAGATTGCATCTATCTTCTGGCTGTGTTATCAATGTTATCAACAACCCACAATGCTAATTTTACCATAAATCATAAAAATGTCCAAAAATGGCACTGCTGTGTGGAAATCTGGCCATCTCAATACTCAAGACAATTCCTTGTCTTGAGCATTCATTCGTTCTGCATTCAGCATTATCAGCAGTGAATGGATATTCAGACAATCATATCTCAAATAAGTGAAGACACAGAGCTCATTGAGAGCCCAGAAGCATGTCTATATTCTCCCTCACAATGCCACAGTCACTGCTGATAAAGAGATAATCACAGGTCAATCACTGTCATTCAGCCATTTCTTCATTTCAATAACATCTCCCTTTTTGAAATGCAAAGGAGCTCTGATTAGTCCCGATCTGCAGCGATACAGTGGGCTGAATATCAAAAGAGATCCTGTCCCTATTGAATTCACCATTTCTTCACATTTTTTGCTCTCTATAATTTGCCCTGCCCCCTTTTTTCCCATTATTCAACACCTTCCGATGGAAAGTCACTCCCTGGAAGAGGGCAGTCTGGAGATCTGGGGCCAAACGAGTATTTAGCAAACTTCCTTAAAGCCATTAAAAATTCTAAATCGTGCCATTGTGTTTCAGCTGAGCTTAGTGGGCTAATTGAAATGAGATTATATTTTTAAGCAATGACACAATGAGCGGGCCCGATGTCGTCTGACAGGAGGAAATTAACAACTCATTGTTTCCCGACGTTCATTCAGCTAGTCTTACGAGACAGGTGTGTGTCAACAATGGAGCAGGATGTAAAACAGAAGTACTAAACGCAGCACAAAACACGGAGAAGCCTGGGAAGGGACAATTCCTTGTCTTGAGCATTCATTCGTTCTGCATTCAGCATTATCAGCAGTGAATGGATATTCAGACAATCATATCTCAAATAAGTGAAGACACAGAGCTCATTGAGAGCCCAGAAGCATGTCTATATTCTCCCTCACAATGCCACAGTCACTGCTGATAAAGAGATAATCACAGGTCAATCACTGTCATTCAGCCATTTCTTCATTTCAATAACATCTCCCTTTTTGAAATGCAAAGGAGCTCTGATTAGTCCCGATCTGCAGCGATACAGTGGGCTGAATATCAAAAGAGATCCTGTCCCTATTGAATTCACCATTTCTTCACATTTTTTGCTCTCTATAATTTGCCCTGCCCCCTTTTTTCCCATTATTCAACACCTTCCGATGGAAAGTCACTCCCTGGAAGAGGGCAGTCTGGAGATCTGGGGCCAAACGAGTATTTAGCAAACTTCCTTAAAGCCATTAAAAATTCTAAATCGTGCCATTGTGTTTCAGCTGAGCTTAGTGGGCTAATTGAAATGAGATTATATTTTTAAGCAATGACACAATGAGCGGGCCCGATGTCGTCTGACAGGAGGAAATTAACAACTCATTGTTTCCCGACGTTCATTCAGCTAGTCTTACGAGACAGGTGTGTGTCAACAATGGAGCAGGATGTAAAACAGAAGTACTAAACGCAGCACAAAACACGGAGAAGCCTGGGAAGGTTGTGTATGTGTGAGCGAGAGGGAGAATGAGGCGGTACATCATGGGGGCGGCTGAGTTTACATTCCGGGGCTGTATGGGTGTAACCTTTAAATGATATTTAAAAAAGCCTGATTATCCTAGAGGTAATTAGGCTGAATGATGAGGACATTTAATTAAAAATAAATCCGAAAAGGCGCAGGGGCCAAAAGCAATTTCCAGCCAGTGAGTGCCAGCATTGGACCGCCTGTGTCAGGAAAAGGGTCCCTCGCTTTCTTCAATCTCTTTCTCCTCCTCCATTCAAACCGTTCCGCTATACAAGAACAGAATATTCATGTCCTGCTGTCCAACTCACTGAGGCGAACTCGTTCATCTTTAGTGCTACATTTGTCCAACTGTCCAATAATATATTGACGTTACATAAAAACAGAACACCCGGTGACAAATGAAAAGAACAATGCTGTGTAATAGCTGCCGAAACTCCCAGTGGAGAGAAATGGAGACCCCTGACTGAGCTTATCGCTAATTACCAAATGAAAACATCCGTCCAGGACTCCAATTTAGCCATCTCATTTGGGGTAGCTGTTATTAGGACAGCTTATAAGCAGTAATTTGTACATATGCAAATTGCCTGTGTCTAGACGGCTGTGGGTTAAAGGTAAGGCCTTTCGCTCACCCACACGGACCATTACGGAAAATGAGCCGAGCTTCTGTGAAGAGTATTCAGGTAAGCAGATGTTGAAAAGGAGGTGGTGACTTATGACTTTTATGAAAACATCGTAAGACATTCAAACATTTATAAACTATAGAAGAGGTATGTCAAATAATAAATATATACACTACTGCTCAAAAGTTTGGACACACTTGACTGAACTTGTGTTTCTCATAAATTGATGCATAAAACTAAACAAATGTATAAATTAATGTGTAAATAAATAAATTAATGTGCAAGTATGCAAATAAATAAGTAAATAAATAAAGATAGACAGACAGACAGACAGATAGATAGATGGTCACTACGTAATTCATATATATATACAGTTTAGTCTTGATGACTCTTATTCTAAAATGTGGAAAATAGGAAGTGGGTGGGTCCAAATGTTACACTTTTAGTTTTTAAAAATACAATTTGTATTAAGTTAGGAAATAAATCAATAACGTTTGAAAATTTCATGATACTGTACATTTGAAATTACTATTCAAATGCTTGGGGTTGGTAAGATTATCTTGTGCTCACCAAGGCGGCACTAATTTGATCGAAAATACAGTAATACTTTGAAATATTATTGCAATTTAAAATGATTGTTTGCTATTTTAATATATTTTGAAATGCATTTATTCCTGTGATGGCAATGCAGTTTTTTTTGCAGTCATTACTCTAGTCCTTAGTGTCACATGATCCGTCAGAAATCATTCTAATATGCTGATATTATTTCAAAAATTTTTCAGGATTCTTTGAAGAAAAGAAACAGAAAGTTCAAAAGAACAGTATTTACATAAATGTGAAAATTTTTAACATTATAAATGTCTTTAATGCCACTTGCTGAATAAAATCTATTTCTTAAAATAATAAATAAATAAATTTAAAAAGTCTTACTGATCCCAAACTTTTGAATAATACTGTACTGTACATTCACCCGTGACCTGCAAAGCATTACATAAATCTAACAAAGTTTGTTGCTAGTATTAAGTTGTTTTAATGCGTTTGTCTTTTCGATACATAAAGTCTCAGAGGACAGTGCACTAGGGAAAACCTCACGCTGTGGGATGCCAGGCAGAGCGAAAACAAACCTGGTAAACACCTGGTTTGTTTGTGTGTACACAATGTGACTTGACCCACCCTGTAGCTCTTTGTCTCCTTTCATCCATCTGATGGTTGCGGCGGGTTTGCTGCCCATGGAGGTGCAGGTTATCTCTGTCTCGTTGCCCTCTCTGACAATGTCCTCGTGGGACTCAATGATTGGGTTTCCTGGTGGGACTGAGAGAGGATAAACAGATTTTACAAGGCGGTCTGTAAATCAAGCACCACTAGAGTCACATTCAGCCCATGGTGCAAGCACCACTAGAGTCACATTCAGCACATGGTGCACTGATAGCCAACACAGACACTAATACTGAGAGATGAACACTTCATAGAAAATAAAGAGGTGAGTATATTCATTCTGTTTTACAAATGACATAAAGGAGCATATCTTGAGAAAGTATGAGACACGGATAACTATAACATGAAAATGGAGAAACATCTTGCTTAACACAGAAAGCAACACATCCAGTAGACTGGAATAAATCTGCTAGAACATTCTACACTGACCTGAATAATTGGGAATGTTCATAGGCATATTGTAACCAACATTTCTAAAGGCTTCCTTTTCTTTTTGGTGCTCAGTTGGATATGCCGTGATAACAGTGTTTTCAAAAGACATGCTCACTTTCATTGGTCCTTACTTCCAAGAGGGTCACTACATCTAAAATGCTTGCCTGAACAGGTCACCTAAATCTTAGGCTTTTAGCAATCTGGCATAAATGTGTGGTGTTTTTTGGACAGAGTAATTCAGGTTTCTTGCTCTCCCCGAGCAGCAGGGCTCCATTCAAGCATTCTGCTTCAACTCGGGTGTCTGAAGCTGTGGAGCCAGCCACTCGACGGCATTCAGCGAGCTCTCTGCAATCCCACTCCCTCAATACCTCTCTGCAATCCCACTCCCTCAATACTCAACACCCTGCACTAAACTCTGCTCTCAAAACGGAATAATCACTTTTAAGTGCGGGTGATTTTTCCATGCAGTTATGTCAAGACGCAGAACGCAGCAAAGCGTTCACATGTACACAAAGACACACACGCACAAACACATAAACAATAATTCTGCTGAATGGCTCCACCATGCAGCTAAGTCCTCAAAGAAAGTAGCAGGTGAAGTGTTTGTAGAGTTTTTAGAGGGCTTTCAGCAGCCCCTCCAAACAGCAGCAAAAGTGTGTGTGTGTGCGCACATGTGGGGTAATGGCTCCGTTCTGAAATATGAATGACTTTGCGCTCAGGATCTGGCTTGGCCACGTCTCGGGCCTTCTGCTAGGTGAAGATGAATGGCTATATCTTGATTCTACACTGCTGCAGCATCTCATAAAAGCTGCTCCACTCTGGTGATTGATCATAAAAGGATTTCTCAGGAAACAAAGAAGCCCTGCGTGTGTGTGTCTGTGGGTGTTTGTTTATGCGCCAAGTGCCTTATGGGAAATCTGACAGTCAAAACAACAGGTTCAGGTTTGTCCAATCCAGAGGTTCTCAACCTTGGGGTCATGACCACATGTGGGAAGATTTTATATATATATATAAATAAATGTGTTCTAAATAAATAAATAAATTACAAATATATATTCCTAGTTAGAATTATTGGCACTATTGGTAAAAATAAATAAATAAATATGAAGAAAAATTCCTCTGCTCTCATTCAAGAACAGACTCCAACATATTCAGTTGCCAGACACTACTGGAACTTCAAACGGAACCGGGTTGTATGGTCAGATGGAGAAAAAATAAAATAAAAAGCTTTTTGGCAGCAAACACACAAGTTGGGTTTTGTGCACACTAAGATAAAAACATACCCCATGCCTACAGTTAAATATACTGCTGGATCTTTAATGTTGTGGACTTTTTT